AAAGATTAGGAGATCACAATAAGAGAGCTGCGATTTTGATAAACAAGGGGATTCGTGTGTGAATGGGGAACGGTCGCTACAAAAGAACCTCGGATACCACAAGTACTAAAAGATATACAAGTAAGCGTAACAAATCATCAATCAACAGTGCAATCCATTCAGCAATCTATGTTAATATGCATATTGAAAGTGCTGAATCTGCATACAGACAATAGTGGTAAAGATATTGCATGGATGGTGGATCCCTTACGAACAACCTAAAATTTGTAATTGATATAATTGTGCTCACAAGTCGTGGTATTGGGTATGTTATAAGTATGATGAATTCTCCTTACAAATATGGATGAAGAATACAACAAGTACAAACTCCTTCAAGTCGTTGTAGAAGACCTTTCATATACACAATACACTGTTTACAACAGACAAATATAGAAGAGCTGTGATAAATACAAAAGCTCTTATATAACACCAAAAAGATCTGCAATACCATAAGCTCTCTACAAAGACAGATATATGTGTCCCGATGCCACCGAATCCGCAACATGTGTGCAAGCGGACAGAAGACGTTCGTAGGCCCTTACATGAAATCCCGGGCCGATTTCTTAAATAAAATCACTCTCGCAAATTGATCGTATTTAAATATTTTTAAATGGCCCTTATATATTAAATATGATCACTTACACTAATTAAATCCCTGCATGTGCTCCGGTCAACATGTTAAAAGTACAAACATCAATGACTGAGAATGATGCGCAGGGTCAAATGCTACAACCCGCATGTGCTCCAATCGTCATATCTAAGTCCTAAATCCGACGATTCGAGAATGCTGTGCGGGTCTAATATTCAAGTTTCATCCTCCTCCTCTAAAGGACTGGAGTTGACACGACTTGAATAACAAAATGCATCCCAAAATTCTACAAAAATACAAGCGACCTCAACTTCACCCGATGATGGTCGTGTTGATCGGAAATCTCAACCGGAGGGGTCAAATTTCAAACCTCAAATGTTAAATTTCAAATCTCAAATGTCAAATCTCTAATCAAACAAAAGTTCAAATTCTTGAAATAAAATCAATCATCTAAAAAACTCAAAACTAAACATCATCCACCTCCCGCAACCGTTTGTCGGGAATGATAAATTGGAAATTAACCTCAGCTCACAAAGAGCGAATGATGTCGGGTGTATCACTACGATTCATCCTCAAAAGTCTCTTGCCAACAGGACGTGGCACGTGCCCTCTGGTCGGTGGTTTTGCCCGAAATGGCACCATTATATTACGATCACGGCCAAAGCCCGTATGTTCCCTAAAGGCGTCAAACCCTTGAGCGATGGATCATAGGGTATATTCTATAGGCATAAAGCCCTCTGTCAGCTAAGGTGGATTCATATATATCCCTTTAGACAAACATCAACCCAGGTCTACGAGGTATTCTTGGACGAAGCAACCCATGGCTGCCGACAAGGTGCCTTCTGTCAGGTTGGGTCGACTACCTCCTCTGACTAAGTAGACCAGGGATCATGACAGCCCGGGACGACGGAACCATGGGATACTTGATCGGGCTCGTCTTCATTCCCCCACCACCAGTTTTAAGTTTATGGTGATAAACTTCAAATTCCAAATTTCAAAATTCAAATCCAAATTCAAGATTCAAAACCCTAAACTATTGCTATTATACGATAGGTTTATAACCTATGTGACATCCTTAACGACTAGCCTTAATCGAAAGTTCTCTCTTATTATTGGGAGGGGTAATTAACTATAGGGGCTTGCGCCTATAAGAAACCAGAACTCAGATCAAAAAGTCCTCACCAAATGAGGGCGAAATCTCTGGGTAGTGTCTTATCTAAAACCCAATCTGCCTTCTGAAAATTCCCTCGGGATCACATCCCTAAAAATTGGAATTTTTCGGAGCCCAGGCCTCTATTTATGTTTTATTGAATTGTTGGTTTGTTAAGTTCAAAGGCCATATTAGGAATGTTATCCCTGCTCTGATGCTTCGGTTCTTATGGTTGGATAGAAATAATTTTTGCTATAATGGTGTGCCTATGAATCACCTTAGGATTATTCATAATGTGAAAGATAAAATTAGGAACCTCTTTGCTGCAAGTTAATTTCTTCAAGAATTTCACTAAGGGGCTGTTTGGTTGCCTGAAAAAGAAATGCAGTGTAAAGTAAATGCATGTAAGTAAATGCAATGCATTCTAAATACTTTAAGCCTGTTTGGTTGTATGCAAAATAAAACGCATGAGAATCGTTTCCCTTGTTTGGTTAGATATATCCAGGTAAAGTAAAAGCATTTTTTTGTAATAATTTATTTTAAGCATTAAAATAAATATATTTATAAAAGCAGTGTATTTATAATAATTTGTATTATTTGGTGTTATATTTTTTTTAATATAATTTAAATTATTTAAACCTAAATCAAATTAAGATAAAATTACTTCAATCAATTAAGCTATTTTAGTATCTCTGACATCCTCCGACCCAAAAAACTCCTGCGAAGCCCTTCTAGCACTAACCTTGCCCTTTTAGACCCCAGCCGTAAAATAGCTATGAGCTGATTCAATGAACCTGAAGAAACATCATGTTGAAGTATGTCGGATGATTAATTTCCGCTCACATTCTTAAACAATTTCAAAAAAAAAATTAATCGGTTTTTTTGTTGACTGGATACTCTTGGGAGTAAAATTGCAAGCATCTTGAAGTCATCGTTTATTCTGATCAATTTTTTTTTCTCACAACAAGCCCAAAGGTCATCCTCTACCTTTGAGCGGGTTTAAATTTCATATATAAAGCAAATGCTGTAAAACTTTTGCATCAAACCACTGACAACAGGGTTAAAATTTCATATATAACGGGTCGACCTCTTGCAGCATTTGCTGAAGCACATTAATATCCATAAGAATAAAAGAAAGTTTAAATAACTCTAGACTAATTTACGTGTAAATGAATTATATTGTTGGTTGTTCAATTTTTCACCAAAATAATTGCGTATAGATTGTACAGAGCACCCAAATGTTGATATCCTCTCGCTTAACACTTCCGAAAGTCACAAGGGATGCAAGGCTCTTCAATGAAACCTAGTTCAGTCTTAACGGCTAGCTACTGCTATAGCTATGAAAGTTCTTCATTACTCTCATCTCCATTTCACGTGTGTTCTGGCCTTCACTGCTCGTTACAGAGGGAGCAAGACCATATTCCACTGGTTGTTCCACTGTACTCGCACTTGAATTTACTTGACTTCGCAATGCTAATGTTTTGAACTTCTGCATTGCTTCATTGTACATTTGAGAATCGTAATCAGAACTAGCATTAGTAGTATAGGAGTCATGCATTCTGCTATGGCCTGGTTGCATGCCTTCATTCAGTTCTTCAAGGGGAACACCTCCTTCTAAAGCCCGAAGAACCTGTCGAGTTCAACATGTTATTTAAAGCAATATCTAATATAAGATTGATTTATGTTAGACAAATTGTTGTTATGCCTGTTGCTTATGCAATCACAGCAAGTGAACTTGTAAAAATTTGATTTTTTTTGTGTTAAGATGAGAAGATAAATGCTAAAATATTAAACTACAAATTCTCAAAAGTAGAGGAAAATTTATACTATCGAGCATTTGTGTTCTAATTTTGATGTTTGTTTTCTAATTTTGAAGTAAAAATGAATGAGCTATTATCATGAAAATTATCTTTTCTTGCAAATCAAGAAACCATATATCATTTGACCCAGCATAAGCAGCACTATGTTGCAGATCTCACAAGCTTCAGCTTTGTGAGATCAAATAAAAACCATTTATGTAATAAAACAAATAAAGTTTCTAAAACCTGACGAAGCCGTTGCCATTTATATCTGCAACAAATTAATTAAACTATCATGTAACAAAATGGATCGACCGAATCGTAAATACAGAGAAATGGGTTTCTTTTCTCTTTCTTATCAAAAACGTCACTTTTCTGCTTGCTGTTTGAAGTGGAGAAATGAAGATGATAGCAGAAAAAGAAGCGGACTTGGGCTTTAATCTTCTGTGGGGACAAATTAGGAATTGAAGAAAGCTGGTGGAGAAAGGCGTGGATGAGTTTGATGAATCCCCGCAAGGAATCGAAGGTACAGAGAAAGAAATTTGATTTGATTACAACGAAGGCTCAGAAACAGGGAGAAGGTAAGGTCGAGCAACCCACGGGAATGAGAAAACCATGCAGAATGAGGTCCTTCCAATATGAATCTTTCTTCAAAGTACAGAAAGGATAAAGCTTTAACTTCGAATCAGTCCGCCGACTGGGCTTGTGCTTGCGAATCAAAGGAATTTGGAAGAGGGAAATGGCTCCGTGTGTTTCGGCTTCTGGAATCCGGAGGAGATCAATGCCATGGTCTAAGAAGCGCGCGAAAGGGATAGTTACCTTCAGAACTTGCGAGCTCCGCTCATTACTTCCGATGAAAATGTCGCAAATTCCGCTCGGACAGGTAAAGGGAACGTCGTCGAAGGAGCGAAGTCGAACGAGAACGAAGGGGCGAAGAAGCTCTCGTGCAATCTTACACCTCCTGCGAAGAAATGAAGCCGAACAGCAAGTTCTTCGTCCAGCGAATTTATAACCCGCTCAATATGAGCGGGTTTCTAATGCGCGGAAAACTCACTCATTAATACACGCCTAATGCTTCGGGCGGTTTCCATTTGTTCCACTCAAAATTAACCAAACAACCAAATTTCATAAATACATGTATTTGTTTTACTTTACACTCCTAATTCAGACAACCAAACAGCCCCTAAGTACCACACTGCTGCAGTTGATTTTGGGATTAAGTTCAAAGGGGATAACAGTTGTAAAGTTACTAGAAGTATCGCGTGGCTTAAACCTCATGTTAATTCCTTTAAGTTAAATGTGGATGATTTTGTTAATAAGGATTCGGTTGGTTGTGGTGGTATCTTAAGGGATTCCAATGGTAACTGCATTATTGGTTTTCCTGGGCCTATTTTCAATGGGAATGTGATTACTGCTATTTCTTTTGCTATCCTTTATGGGGTTAGATTATGTCTCTCTCTTGATTGCATTAATATTATGGTGGAGGTCAATTCTTCTTATTGTTTCGATTCTCTTATTTTGAGAAATGAGAATAATTGCTCTTCTAATTTGTTTTACATTAAGAGAGATATTTAAAGGATTTTGAACATGATTAACTTTTCCTTTTTGTCTATTGAAAGGAATGGGAATGCTTGTGTTAATGCCATGACTAAGTTGGGTTGTGTTTAGGACTCTATGAAGGATTTTAGTTTTGCTAACCTGCCCCTTCTTGTTAAGGGCTTGTTAAAGCTGGATAAAATTAATGTTCCGTATGCTTTTATCTATGGGGGTGGTGGCTGCTGTTTCCTGGTGGTTTTTCTGCTTTTACCTTTGGGATTGTTCTGTGTGGCTGGAGCTTTGCTCTAATTGCTGGTTTTCCTGAGTTTGTTGGCTCCCTGCCTTGTTTGAGGCTGTCTACTGCTGGATTTTCTTTATCTTGTTGTTCCGGTTCTTGGTTTGGCTGAGGGTTTGTGTGGTCTGGAGGTCTGGGTTATTTTCTCTGGGTTTATTTGGTGTTGTGTTGTCGGACACAGTTTTTTCTGGTGAGGTTTTATGTTCTTTTGTTTGGCTGTTGGATGTTATTAGTGTTTTTAGGTTACTGCTTGTTTTGGTTAGATCGGTTGGTCTTGGGAGTTTTGGCTGTTGCTTTGGCCCTCTGGTTGTTTCTTGCCTCTGGCTGTGTTGGTGTAGCTGGTGGGTGTTTTTTGGTGGGGTTTGGACTAATCTTATTAGGTTGCTTTTGTTGTGGGTTTTCGATTCTATGTTCTGGGACCCTTTGTATTCGACGACCTTTGGCTGGTTGACCTTTAGTTTTTTTCTGGCTACTTGTTGTGTTGGTGCAGGTGGTGGGAATCTTGTGGTTTGGTTTGGCTTAATCTTCTTGGTTGGCATTTTGGGAAGTCTTTGGATACTAAAATATGGGTTCCTTTGGCTTTTCATCGGTATTCTGCTGCTATTGGTCTTTTCCTTTTGAGGTATAATGGGTTGAGCTATTGGAGTCTTTACAAATTGGATAACTGTAGACTGTTTTAGCTTAGTATTGGTGGTAATTGTGACAATTATGTTTGCTACAATAGGTTTTTGATCTATATTTTCTGTCAATTATGTTTTTCTAGCTTTTACTTTGTTTTGCAGAGTTTTTGCCTTGCAGGTGTCTGGCTGTTGAGTGGAACAGAAGGTTTTTGGAGCTCGATATTTATTTTTGTACCTTTATGGTTTTTTGGGTGCTCGTCCTTGTGCACCATAGAATGTACCTAGGATTATGTGTAATTTTACTTAGTAGGGAACTCGAGCTCATAGGTTTTTTTGTTCTTTTAATTTTTGTTGCTCTTCGGAGCAGTAATGAGCTTTAGTTCCCTTTAAGGACCTTGTAATCGTTGTTTTTTATTAACGCGTAGGCCCCTTCGTGGGTTTCTCCGAAAAAAAATCAGAATCAAATTCAGAGATTTCCTCTTAGACATTACTCTTGAGAATACATAACTGCAGAAGAAGACACTAATTAATCATGGACTTTAACTTATTACTGTTTCTTAAAGCAGCTTTCTAGTATACAAATTTTATTTTTTATATTAAAAAAATGCTTCAAGAAGCAATATAAAAGCTTTCCCAAACGAGTGCTTAAAACAGATAATGTTTGAAAAAAAGTTCATATGTTCAACATTGCATGAAGTGTAAATTGAATGAAATTTAGATCAAGGGCAAATTTGATTAGGATTGTTTTAAAATTTATGGATTTATTTTAAGATGAGGTAACATAAGGATAATCAATATTTCCTTCTTTTCACTCATCTCAAAAATAATTCTAAAAACCTTAAAATGCGATATATTTTGATCACAATTTTTTTTTTCAATTGAATCTTTAATAGGCATATCAACAGTGAGGAAGAAAATACATAGAACTATTCCTAATGACAAGCAATTGAGGGATATGAAATTTCTAAATTCATGGTGCTTCTGTAATGATCAAATGTTGTATTTTGCTCTCACCAGCAAAAGAAATATTGAGTATTTTCATAATAGTTCGTTGTTCCAGGCGAATTGATAAGCATGTAAGTTTGTTATGTTTTTGATTTTGTATCAATATATTAGTAGGTTGGTCTAAGAAAAATGTTAATCTAAGAAGCCTCAATTACCCAAATGATTACTATTTGGTTGGCAATTAAGAAGTTAGCTGGACTCCTTTGTTGCCTATGAGATTAAGCTGTAAGCTATTCTCTCTCAAGAGCAGTCCTCTCTGATATGGGGGGAAAACGTTACCCTACAAAGAATGCGTATTGTCTAAAATAGATACTGATCATAGTATACCAACATAAACAACTACTATGCTACCTGCAAGATCTATATAAGAATCCACATGAGAGCAGTCAATGACTTAAGCTTCATTTGGGATAGTTTTCTCTCTGAATTTTAAAGTAAAATTTTAGTATAATTTTTTTATTAAAAAACTGCTTTAAAAAACAATAAAAAAGCTATCCCAAATGAAATCTTAGTTGTTGAGACCGAGCAGTAGCATAGGAGAGGAACATAGCCAACTTCTCCAAACTTCATGTTTACTATCAGGTGGTGGATCATAATCTATTAACTATAGCCCTTATCCCTCAATTATGATTTGTATGAAGTCATTATTTGAATGAACTCAGGCCAAGATTAATCTAGTGTGGGCTCTGAAAATTCGGCCCCAGCCTACCCGTTGCTTTTCAGGGGAGTTTTAACGGATTAAGTTCTGGGATAAATTTTGGGAAGGCATATTGGGTTTGTAGATAAGACACTACTCAGAGATTTCATTTTCATTTTGCGATGACTTTATGATCTGAGTTTTGGTTTCCTATAGGCGCAAGCCCCTATAGTTAATTACTCCTCCTAATAACGAGAGATAACTTTCAATTAAGGCTAGTCGTTAAAATATATATGTAGAGAATATATGTTATTTGACATATAATAGCAGTATTAATTGAATGTTTGGAAATTCGATATTTAAAATGAAAAATTCACCATTTTGCACTTAAAGAGGATGGTAAGGGAATGGATGATAGACCCGATCAAGATCCCATGATTTCGTCATCCCGGGCCATTGTGGTCATTGGTTTACTTAGTCAAAGGAGGTATCGACCCAACCTGATAGAAGGATCCTTGTCAGTAGTTATGGGTTGCTTCGTCCAAGAGTACCTTGTAAACATGAGGTGATTATTTGACTAAGGGGACAAAAGGAATCCACCTTAGCTAATAAAGGGCGTGCCATATCGATTATGTCACATTGATTAATATATCAAGTATTTGATGCTATTGAGTAACATATGAGCTTTGACCATAATCGTAATTTAGTGGTGCCATTTGGCAGCAAACTTCCCAGTTC